TTCTGGTCATCTGCAGCAAAGAAAATTGACGTTTTACCAGGAAGATAACCAAGTGTGGGAAGTAACATTGGCGAGTTTCTGTGTGTTTTTGTTTACAGACACATTTGACAAAGATATCCTCGGACTTGCAAGACAGCATTAAGCACATAACCATACAGAACATAGTGAGTGAGTTGTTGGATGAAGTGAATGGATAATGATTAGAGTTGAAAATTTGGGGATGGAAAAGAAAGAGGAACTTTTGTGGTTGGTGGAAGGGCGTAGCGAGCAGCGGGGAGGAAGCTTTTGAGGAGGAGTGGCAGTGTTAATAGTATTGTATTGAACTGAAAAGAAAGCAGTGGAAGTCATTTTCGAAGCTTTTGGTTGCGAGTGAGTGAGTGAGTGAGTGAGTGAGTGATGGAGAGACAAAAACCAGAAAATAAAAGAAAAGAACACCCATTTTCCCCTTAAGTTATAAAACAAGATTGTAATTACAAATTATTGTCGGCAAACCTCATTCTAATGCTGACTGCTCACCAACTCTTTTTTTTTTTTGTTTTTTTTTTTTTTTTTTACAATAAATAAAAAGAGAAATAATGATTAGTATTGGACGACAGCCTCTCCTTTACACAAGAATCTTTCCCCCTTCCAATGCTCTCTTAATTTAATTGCCCCTTTCTGTTATCATTGCTCTTTCTTTTTTTAATAATAATTATTTTTCATTCAAACATTTTCCTAACAAACCCTAAATATTTAACAACCATTTGAGGATAACTCAATCTTACCCCTTTTACCTAAAACAAATTATTGACCGTTACCTACACAGTAAATAATAATAATAAAATATTAACTTTTATTGACCAATTAATTTCAATTTACCAAATGTTGACCCTAATTTCGAAGTAAAGCGGAGGGCGCAGAGTTTTAGAAAAACAAAAGTTTTGGTGAGTTTAACACAAAACACAAAAACTCAATTTTAAAAAATTAAATTTAATCCTTTAGATATATTTAAATTAATAAATAAATCTAATAAACCATAGAATCTGTGAGTGAAGATTTAGATTCTTTTAATCACAGACAAAACCAAGGCGGTAAATTTATATTGACAAAAATAAAGAAAGGGGGGAAAAAGGACAAGTGGTCAAATGGCAAAATGGGAAAATTGAAAGAATAAATATAATTTTTTTTATTAAAGAAAAGTGTGGAGAAAAAAAAGAGAATAATAGTGTACAAACAAGAGCATCGGTATCCGAGGCACGTGTCACTATCATGGTGTTTATAAAGTGCTTGAGGGCGTACGGGATGGCCCACCATCCAACTAATAATGATACCTGATTTATTTGGAATAATAATACTCGACTTATATGTGGGTAATTATACGCTGCATGACCCTACACCATAGTCCCCACTCTCCTCCGTTACTTTGACCGTTCAGTCAATCCTTCTTTGACTTCTCCGGGTCCCACTCCCACTACGTGTACGCTTCTCTCTCCTTTCATCGTAAATATAGGACTAAACTTACCCAACTCCACCACTCCAAATTATTATTTTTTAATCTTTTTCTCTCATTTTTTCAAAATAAGATTAATAATTCCTGGAAATTCTAGATATATTTCCTGTGAACCCACGTGCCGGTTTTTGCCAACTGTCCATAATAAAAAAATATATATTTTTGTATATATAAATTCTGGTCACGTGGTCCCTCGTCAGCGCAGGAAGAGGAGGAGGAGGGGAGGGAGGATAGATTCATGGGACGAGAGATCTACTTGAGTCAATGTCCGTACGATGACGTCATAGTCTAGTGTTCGTGATGTCGTTGTAGTTTGTCCAGACTCGTAGGGGTAAATTCGTCATCTTTCTAGTTCCAACTTTGATTCTACCCTTACTATATTTACGCCTGTTCAAACGTCCAACTTCAATTATTTTGTTCTTCTTTACTTACGTATTTTTCTTTTTCTTTTTTCCTTTTTTTTTTCTTTCAAAAAGTAAAATTTTGTGCTATAAGTATAACTACAACTACCTGATTATTGACGAGTATTTCAATGATTATTGAATCTTATTTATTATTACTTTATCATTGGTTTATATATACATACATACATATATATATATATATATATTGTTAAATTCCTAAATTTCTAGTTTAGGGTTGAGAAAGTAAAGGGGAGAGAGTAGGCATGGCATTGATAGCAATGGCATGTGATTATGCTCATATTGTAGCCAACAATCTTAATGTCCAAGATATCATTATCAATCTCTTTTTCTCCTTTTTTCCTTACAACATATATTCTCTTCCTCTTAAAATATTTAAATAAATTCATTAAAAAAAATAATAATAAAGTAAGCTTTTCCTTTTTCATAATGGAATAAACAACGACGCAAAAGAAAATCTTATCCATTTTAAATAATTAATTGCGTTTATTTGTACAAGAAAATAATTCCAAATATAACAATAAAGACCCGGAACAAGGATATAAACTAAACTCGATTAGAGGTCAAATTAACCACTAATCCAAATAACATATTTTAATATTATATTAAAATGAGAATTTAAATTTGATTGATAGCGGTAATGAATGAGATTTTGAATGAAAAGAAGGAATAAAATTGATTAAAGAAGGTATGGAAAGAGTGATATATGATGATGGTGTCTCATATGCACACTCCTAATTGTTGTCTATTTACTCAATCTCTCTTTCTCATAATTATTCCTAATCACAATAAACTTTTTGTAATAATATAAGATTATTACACAAAGGCAAGTGTATATAAAGCTTGACATTTGAATGGTGCAGGAAAGAAACGGCAGTTGTAGAAAGTCACGTGCGTTGTGAAAGTGGTCACGTGCTAACACTCGACACGGAGACAGTTGGGATCTCATGCGACAATACTCATACAACTTTGCAAGTTGGTGTGCTTTGTCAATAGCCCTTTTCACCTTTCTGATTAAAATTGAACTCTCTTTTTCATGGTGGCTAAATACAATGCATTATTATTTTAAATTAAAAAATATATATATTATTATTATTTATTTCAGCTTTTTAGCTAAAAATTGGCCTGCTTTCACAGACAATAAACAAAATAATTGCTGACCATAACTTTTTACCCATTTATCGTATACATTATTGTCACCAATAACATTTTAGTTTCTACTTTATAATTTTTTTTTTATTATTATTCAAATGGATCTATAAAGTCTAAAGATGATTTAGTCAAAATTCAACCACTTTATGAATTTTATTTTTTCGTAATTAATTGGATTTTTGGGAGATCATTGACTTCCAAGTAATTAACTTTTTGGTGATTGGTTTAAAGGGAAAAGGTCTAAAAAGCTTCCAATATTAATTTTTAAGGGTAAAATAATAATAATAATAATAAAATCAGAACTAATTGAGTGTAAGAATGTGGGGTTTTATGGTGTAGATTACTTTATTTAATTGATGGTTTGAAAATTGTGGCATACGTGGGGGCATCTTCATTTTACCATAATTATATTTGAATACCCTACCTACTTTTTATTTTCTATTTTTAGACTAATAATTTAATTTCCCCCACCCCTCAATTATCCTTTAATTTATTTTGGCTCATTAATTATTTATACATGTGCTTAAATTAATAATAAATACACCTAATTATTAATCAGTATTTGATTACTCACAAAGTTAAAAACTTTTTTACCCATATAAATGATATAAATGAAATTAAAGTCATATAGGGTATACCCTTTTTATTTTTAATTTTATATGATATATTTTGATTTATACATGGTGAAAGTGGTAATTTCACATGGGGGCAGGGTGCCCCTAGTTTCTAAAAGGGCGACTATATATGTCCTTAAGGCAATGTATGGAATCTGATAATGAGATATGGTAGGTGTAGTAGTTTAGAACCAAAGCTCCATATTATTTTTATTTTGATTATTTCAACTAAAACTCTTACGTACGAGTCACGTGACGTACTTTATTAGACACCTTTAAGCCTATTCTATATTTAAATACAAAATTCATAAACAAAATGATGAGTAATTATTATTATTTCTTAAGATGCAATCAAATACTAATGATGATATTGTATCAATTATGAATCTTTTTAAAAAAGAATTAAGCCTCGTTTTTTTTAAGAAATCTTTAAAAGGTATAATTTTGAGGTTCTAGAATGCTCGAAAATGATGTGGAAATTTGACTTAAAATTGAAGGACACATTCCCTAGAGAAAAAGGAAGATTGGAAGATTGGTTAAATGAAAAGAGGGTTGTTAGGAGTGTTTAAAGTTGCATTAATTATTGATGCTAGGACACGAGGGTTCATTATATGAAGGTCAAAGTTGTTGATAGAATCTATGTGTAGGCTTTTTAATTGGGCTTCACCTTCTACATCTACCATTTTTTCTTTTCACTCTCTTAATAATTAATGCTACCATTTATTTTCATTTTTCATCAAACCATATAATTCTAAAATCTAGAGTTCTTCACAATTTGGTTATTTGGTTATTTAGATTATGGTTGGATGTTCTTCTAATTGGGTTATTTGGGTTATGGTTTGATGTTCTTCCCATTTCGTTATAAGTTCCAAAAAATAAGAGTTCTTATAAACCTCAAATGGGAGGAAAGTGGGAATTATACCATTGCATGTTGGTTGAATCATTTATTATTTTTTTTGGTTAAGAAAAATAGTATCTCAATATCTAGAATTTCTATTTATTTATTTATATTAATTGATCTTTAAATATTGTTTAGTTTTAAAAGTTAAAAAAATAAATAATCTAGATGTATGCATATATAATTGTTTCATAAAGGTTTAATACAGGCCAATTCAACCCCCTAAATGTTATATTTATTTGGTTAAATATTTCGTTTAGAGACATTTTCTTTATTTAATAAATCCTATTTAAAAATTCGAAAAATTATTTTGTTAACCGAATTTTGATTTTGAAACGAAACTCAAAACTAGAAAAACGTTCGCTAGACACGTGTCGCATTATAGAGGTATCCACGTTTTGTCTTCCAAAACCACAACTTTCACTGTTCAATTTCCCTCCAATTTTCCTTTTCTTTCCTCCGATCGACGATCGCATTTTCGGAAGTACCCTACTCTGGCCCAACTCTCTCTCCGCGGCGCAGCCGCCTCATTTCTACGGTCAAACTGTCGGCGATTCCGACTCCCTTCCAGTTCCCTTCCCTGTTTGAAATTCGGTGAAGAATGGCCTCAACCCTCTCGAATTCTGTTCAGTCGGGTCGGATTCGGGTTTTGAAAGATGCAACGGGTACTGTAGATCGACCTGTGGGTCCGGTGGTTTATTGGATGTCTAGGGATCAACGAGTAAAAGACAACTGGGCGTTGATACACGCCGTGGACGAGGCTAACAAAGCAAATGTTCCTGTTGCTGTGGCATTCGATTTATTCGATCAATTTTTGGGGGCAAACTCTCGGCAATTAGGGTTTATGCTAAGGGGCTTGCAACAACTTCAACATGATCTTGAAGAAACGATTCAAATACCTTTCTTCTTGTTCCAGGCGAGTTAATTTGTTGTCTAAGTTTAGGAACTAATGTTGTTTGTTATCGTTATCCCTTTCTGGAGAACCTGGGAAAACGTAATTATTGATTTAGTTTGATTTCATGAAATACATTTATGCTTTATGAATCACCATGACTTGTAATCTTGTATCTTCGATTTTAACAAAATGCTAACTGGATTGGTTTGTCATGTTCCCATTGGAGTTGCAATCAGGATTGCTTTATCTATGATTTTTTTAGTTTTGTTTGAGCATGGCTCATAGCTTTCTGGGTTAGCATTCTTAGGGGGAAGCTGAACAGACTATACCAAATTTCATTACAGAATATGGGGCTTCACTTCTAGTCACAGACTTTTCGCCCTTATGAGAAGTTCGTAAGTGTAAAGAGGAAATTTGTAAGAGGATAGATGAATCATTTAAGGTACATGAAGTTGATGCCCACAACGTGGTACCCATTTGGGTTGCATCCGAGAAATTGGAGTACAGTGCCAAAACTCTAAGGGCGGAAGATAAATAAGAAGCTCCCGTAATACCTTATTGATTTCCCTGCTCTGATTATACCAACTAAAAAATGGCCAGAGCTGGGGGGGGAGGCGAGACTAGTTATCAGGTCAGAGAGACCCCTAGCCCGTACTGCTAATACGTCTGTTGATTGGGAAAAACTTATTGCTGATAACTTGAGGTTAGAGCGTTACTTTGTTTTGTCTTCAATGTCTTCAAATTTGTTTATGTTGACATTTTATTGTTACCAGAAAAGGAGCTGATGTTCCTGAAATTGAATGGTGTAAACCAGGGGAAAAAGCGGCACTGGAAGTGATGATGGGTAGTAAAGATGGGTTTTTGACTAAGAGGTTGAAGAGCTATGCAAATGATAAGAACAATCCATTAAAACCTAAGGGCCTCTCTGGCCTCTCCCCATATTTAATCCGTTTGAATCTGTTTAGAGGACCGTAGTTAGCTCCTGTTTCAAATTGTATCGTTACGTCAATCCGTTTGTTTGTTCATTTTGTGTGATTCCTTGAGTATGATATGTTTTGCATAATTTTTTAAGGCAGCTGAGGTGTTCCTTGAGGAGTTGATTGTTAGAAGGGAACTTCCTGATAATTACTGCTACCACCAGCCTCCTTATGATTCACTGCTTGGGGCTTGGGAATGGGCGCGTAAAACCTTGATGGACCATGCTTCCGATAAGCGAGAACATGTTTACTCCTAGGTGGGCTTTTGCTGTAATTGGGATTGTGGGTGTTAATATCCACTTGCCATTGGTTTTGAAATTATTGAATTTTGAGTATGTGAGACTGATCAGCTGATTGGAATAAATAAACCCATGAATATACCCTTCATTGATTTGAGGCTTTTGGGAAGCCTAAAAATCAAAACCATGAGAGCTTATGTTCAAAGTGGACAATATCATACCATGGTGGAGAGCGTGTTCTTCTAACATGGTATCAGAGCCAGAGTCACGCCCTAAACTTAGTCGTGCCAATAGATTGGTAAATTCTCAAATGTTGAACAAAAGACTCCAAAAGAAAAGAAGTCGAGCCTCCTCGAAGGCATAGTCAAAAGAGTCGGGTCTCAATTAAGCGTCAAATGTTGAACAAAGAACTCCAAAAGAAGAGGAATAAGGGGAGGCGTACTTTGTTCAAGGGGAGGTGTTGGATGATAAAAGTCTCATATTGGCTAATTGAATACACTCTCCATTGGTTTGCAAAGCCCTCTCCATTGGTTTGCAAAGTCACGAGAGGTTATGCTCAAAGTGGATGAGTCCGGTTCTTCTTGTTCTTCCCACGGGAGCAACTGGGATTGTAGGTGTTATTATCTTTTCAGTATCCGTTGCTTTGCTTCTTCCATTTTTTGCTGTTATTTCTATTGAATAAACTCACACTTGCTACATTACTTTTCAGCTCTGGAACGTTTCTCAGATGGAGATGGTCTTCCATGGAGTTGAAATTGAATTCTAAAGGAACGACGCATTACCTATTATCAAGCAGGGTGCAATTATTCAATCGCTTTGACCATGGGAGAAGCATATTATTCAGCGTCTTCAACACTAATTAGCGAACAAACTGTAGAATTTCTAAAGAGAAGTTTCAAAAGTTCTAGTTTGATTATACCCAATTCAACCACCTAAATCTCCTGTTTGGATTCCTACAAAGTTTTCTTTTTCCCACCTCCAGATTGGATTGCCACGGTCACAAGTCGGCGGTGGTTGTGGCGGCGTTATACCTGCACAACACCTTGCATTTAACTACGCTGCCGTATACGTAGAAACCAGGGGCGACCATTATTCTGACTACCGACGGAATTAGCTTTCTGGCCTTGTCGCCGCTCACGTCCTCCATGTAAACGGAATCGAAAACGGCTTCTTTCTCAACTCTGAACATCGGAAGATTTGGATTAACGGAGTTGGCCAGAAGGTGCAGAAGCCACACGCTCTTCGACGCGCTGAAGAACGCCTGCAGCAGCGGTTCCGACCAAACTCTGTTCCATCCCAGCATATCCACGATTTCGCTCATTTTCCTGTCGCAAAATCGGCTGAAATCCTCGCTGAAATGTTTCGTTCCTTTGTTTAGAACCTCCTCCCACGTTAATTCATGGAGGATATTGAAACATCCGAAATTTGCTTCGCATCTTTCAATCGGATTGAGAACCGGAGTCGAGGCGTTCTTCTGAAATCCTATCGATTCGAAGTCCTCGAAGAAAGCTCGGTTTAGCAGAGCTTCGAGGTAGAAAAGCAAGTTTCTAGGGTTCTTCGAGAACGATATTTTGACATCGTAAGGTTCAAGAAGAACGGAAATTCTTTCGTATACTTTGGCTCCGACGTGGCGGAGTTGCGGAGTGAGTGACCGGCTGAGAAACCGGATCGACGATCGAGATTCCGATACCGAAACTAAGAAATGCTCGATTACATGCTTCTGATTCGTCTGGTGAAAACTCTGCATTTTATGATACTTCCCAATTTGGCAAGGCGAATTGCCGGCGCTGCACTCTTGGAATCCGGATTTCAAATTGTGGCAATACGATTCGAGTTTGTCCAGTTTCCTCTCCAATTCGGCCATGGCGTATTTTAATCTAGAAGCTTCTATAATAGCCTCGTCTCTCTTCCTCGTCGTCTGAATCAGCTTCTGCGAGAGCTCCGTCAAAGCGGCCCTCCATTGCTCTTCTCGAGCCGTTAAGGCCGACGATTCGTTAATAGTTTTCGGACTCTTCCGCGTCAACGACGAAATTAGGGATTTGAAAATGCCATTAGGACTCGGGATGGAGAAATACGTTTGTTTATTAACGCCATTGTTGTTATCTAGAGGAACGACGGAGAACTTCTCCCTCGCGTGAGGAGTAGGACGGCACCTGCCGCACGACACTACATCTGAACTCGACACGGAATCCGACTCCGACTCGGACCGTTTCCTAACCGTCTGCGATTTCCCATTATTGCTCCGATCATCGGCCCGATTCAACGGCGTCGTCGGGTGGTGCTTCAATCTAGTTCCCGGGTCCGACGCTGCCACCCGATTCTCAGCATCAAAATCCTCCTCCACCTCTTCCTCCTCGCATTCTAGAATCTGCAACAAAAGTGATGAAATTCCCGAGAAACAAACAAAGAGGCGAAATGTTAGAAACTCCGGGTAGTAACACTCACCGGCGTGAAATGGGATCGTGAGTGGCGGTGGGGGGTCGGAGTAGCAGAGGAAGAAAAGGAAATGAAGGAGGTGGGAGAAGAAGCAGCCATGGGTGAATTGAGCAGGGTTACAGGCACATTCCAGTTTGTGCAATGTGCAAAGCAAGAGGTATGTGTGTTGCGTTTCAGTTACTTAGGTAGCAGTTTCCGTCGTCTTGTAATCATGATTAGGATTCAGATACCATAGATAAGAGGTTTCCCAACCCTTTGGCCAGCGAAAAGATTCAAGAAACAAGACGCTGGCAAACCAAATTCCATTCCCCAAAACATATAAAATGGGGAAAATCCAAAAAAAAAATAAAAAAAAAAATAATGACCAATGAAATGCAAGTGTATTAAATTCAGAACCCGCTCTCCCCTTCATTCATTCGTGCACCGTAGATCTTTTCAACAATAACCTTCCATTTTTACTTTATATTCCCTGTAAAACTTTTATGTTAAAAAAATAAATAAATAAAAGAGAATGGGATTTCAAGGAAGGAGCGTGGAGAGGTAGTACAAAGATGGGAGTATTAAATGTATGGATATACTGATTGAAATGGTTGGCTATGAAAAAGGGTAGGGAATAGTAGTGTGGGTGAATGAGAAAGAGAGAGAGAGTTAAATGGAAAGGCATTGAATTGAATTGAATTGAATTGAATGTGGTTGTTGTCAACATTTAAGTCTCACATCCCATTCCTTCCAACTCCGCCTCTCCTCATTTATTGCATATCTTGACGCAACTGCCATGCCTTGCCTTGCCTTGCCTTGCCTTGCCTACCCTCTTCGGCTGTTTCAACGGGGCAAGGCCCGGCCATCTGCCACTGCGAGCCAGGCTTTGCCCAAACCCATGGGGGCGGCTTACATATTTGTTGTTTTCTCTCGCATTCGCATCACTGCCCCATCATGTCTTCTTACTCTCTCCCTCTGCGCCAGAAATAAAGCTTAAATTATTCTCTTCACCCCACCCTTTTTCAAAACCTACCCCACCCTTTTTCAAAACCTACCCCACCAAACCAATGCTGTATTTCTTTTCTTTTTAAACCCAACATTCACTTTGTAACGACCCTTATAAAAAAACGTCTCTACTAGAGAAAGGTTTTCACACCCTTATAAAATGTGATTTGTTCTTCTCTCCCACCAATGTGGGACATCACAATCCACCCCCTTCGAGACCCAGCGTTCTTGTTGGCACTCTTTCCTTCTTCCAATCAATGTGAAACAGCCACCAAATCCTCTCCTCTTTGGGGCCAATGTCCTTACTGGAACACCGCCTCTTGTCTACCCCATTCGGGGAACAGTGAGAAGGCTGACACATCATCCGGTGTCTGGCTCTGATACCATTCTCGATTTGTGCGTGTCATTCTTGTGTAGGGTCATGCTAATCTTCTCTGTATGGTTCCAATTGATCGAATGTCCCCAATGTGGAGCATCACAAACTCTAAATTTTAAGGTTATATCTACCAACACTGTTGTATAATAAAAGATTTTTGTGAAAATAACACAATTCAATAACGTGTATATTAGTGATGTAATTGACACTCTGACATCAAGCGATTAATTATATATTTTAGATTAAGAATATGGTAACGTCGGTTTAGCATAGTTTGTGTATATATTTGAAAGAAATATATCTACGTTGAGTTCATATATAAATATATAATATATAAATGTGGATTAAGTTGTCACACAAATATTATCTTAATGATATGATAGAGAAAAAATAAAGTTAAATTACAATTTTTTTCTTTAAAAGGTTGTGTCTATTTCATTATTAAATTTTTTAAAAATAGTTCTTAGACTAACTATTTTTGTATGGGTTATAAAACTCTCTAATAAATCATTAAAATTTTTAATGTTTTTATCAGTTTTTAAATTTTGGGGTTTACTAAAAAAATTAATTACAATCCCATAAGCAACTCAATATATCTAATAGATAGATAGTTTTAATAGCTTTTTTTTTTTAATAACTAATAAATACAAAAATTTAAAACTAATTAAATATAAAAATTAAATTCACACACTTATTAAATACTTTTCCAAATTTATCATAAGAGAGAGGGAGAGAAAAAAAATAGTATTATTTATAAATAATTTTAGGGTATGATAAATTTGTGTGCAAAAAATAAAAAATTTGCGTGAATTTCATATGGGAGTCGAGATGAGAAATGTTGATACTTTTCTTCTGGCGTTGATTTTGTCCAAACGCACGCGGTTTGTTATTTTCGTCCAAAAAACGTTTAATCGGAATTATCTTCATAATTTTGTTTTAGGGGCGCTTTCTTCTTCTCGAATTAGTCCTCCGCCGTTCGTTGATACCACTGGTCGGCATTTTCTTTTTCAATTCCTTTCTTCCCTTTTCAATTCTTCATCCTCCCCCAATTAACCCTAACATGTTTCCAAATCGGCTCTGAAATCACATCTTCGCGGCTGCTTTTTGATACCGATTTCGCAGGCCGTTCGTGATTTTCATCGCTTCGCTTTGCGAGATCAGGATTCAGGAGCAGCCATGTCTTGGAATGTGTTCAAATTCTGCACGGCGCTGCGTGCTTTGGGTTCCATCATGATCCTCTTAGTTCTAGGTATAGTCGGTCTCTCCTATTACGCTTTGGTCGTCGTCAACTATGGTCCGGCTCTCTTTCGCGGAGGCCTCAATTCGCTTACAGCTCTCCTAGTCTTGCTCTTGTTTCATTCTTTGGTAATATATTTTCCTCTTTTAGCTGCAATTACACATATTGTGCACTTGGCGAACTGTTGGTTTGACCTTCGACAATTTAGCTTCCTGGGATCCTCAGGACTTCCTGATATTCTTTTTCCTTTTTTCCGGAATGATTCCTGGAACGCGAATTTCGACTTAGCTTAAGAGGAGTTGCTTAGAAAATGTAAAATTGTGGAAAATTTAACATTGTAGTGCAGAAAGTTATGGCTTATTGTGTATTGAATAAAAGTTGTGGGGCTTAGAGTTCAAAATATGAGGCAATCTTCAGATTTCTTGAAAATACAAACTTAAGATTACCTTCTACATTCGCTAATTGCTCTAGGTGACCACCGTTTGGTTTTTCCTTTATTTCTACTGACCCGAATTTATTAGCTCGTGGAAGAGCGTTATGATAGAATAGAGTATCTCTGAGATTCTTCTTTTTGGTTGGTTGAGAAAACAACGGTACTTTGGGCCAGAATAAATAAAAAGAAAATAAGTACTAGCCTTATTCTGAATTTGAAATGATACGTTGTAATATTTGTGTGTTCATCTTTAGAATAGCATATATACATTCATATAGCTTCAAACCTTCAATTTACCAATCGCAGTTGGTGATGTTACTATGGAGCTACTTTTCTGTTGTACTAACAAATCCGGGGTTTGTTCCACCTCATTGGAGACCTGAGTCGGATGAAGAGAAAGGGGATGCTGATCCATTAATGGCATCAGAATACAACAATGATCCAGGTGCAGGGCCAGAACAAGGAACCATGCCAAGTGATTCTGCTAATCGAAAAATACGGTTTTGTCGCAAGTGCAACCAGTTTAAACCGCCTCGTTGCCATCATTGTTCTGTTTGTAAGTTCTAGATCATTTCCTACTTTCTATTTCGTGTAGAAGTTTACTCTGGTCCTAGTTGGTAAACAATATATAAATACTGATTATGCCTCCTTTGGTAGGTGGAAGGTGTGTATTGAAAATGGACCATCATTGTGTGTGGGTCGTCAATTGTGTTGGAGCAAAGAACTACAAGCACTTCCTGCTATTTTTGGTAGGCACAACCAGAGTATTTCCTTCTGAATTCCAGTTCTCTATCTCCATGGTTCTCGGGATGGATGGTCCCCTATGATATCTATAATATCCATTCAGAAAATAAATGATGTTACTTGTATAATCATGAGTAGATTCTAGTTCTTTGGCAATTTGTCAGCTGATATAACCTGCGCAATCATAGATATTCTAATTCTGCTATAGAGATGTTTTGTGATGGTGCCATGGCGCATCATTGCATTGAGTTTATTAAATCATATTGCTTGTTTGTTTCCATGATTTGTGCAAGGAGAAAATATTTTTGCCCTCGAGTAGTTCAGAATGTAATTGCCTTTTCTTTTGGTACTTGTTATGTTCAGTTAAGATTTTGTTTCATCACTTAAGTGCTTGGCTAACGGAGGTATGCAGAAGTTTCACTAATCATCACATTTTGTTGATTTTCATGCAGTTTTACACATTTCTTGAAACATCCCTTGTTACTTTGTCATTATTGCCATACTTCTTAGCTTTTTTCTCCGATGGTGATATAACTGGAACACCAGGCAGCCTTGCAGCAATTTTTGTAACATTTAGTAAGTGCATAAGTGACAATTTCGTTCAATAGTTAAAAATATTTTGACATTTATCTCTAATTTTAGTTGCTCGTTCCTTACAGTTCTGAATTTAACATTTTCTCTGAGTGTTATGGGTTTTCTGATATTGCACATATCACTTGTAGCAGCCAATACCACAACAATAGAGGTAATTCCTCCTAGAAGTAGTACTTTGTTTGTTTTGCTTTTAACCATTTAAAAGGGGCTGAATTGGTTTATGGGATATTTGATTCACCGTTGTCAGGCATATGAGAAGAAAACCACCCCGAAGTGGCATTTTGATCTTGGTCGCAGAAAGAACTTCGAGCAGGTATCTTCTTCTCAACTTATTGGCTTCTTCCTTGCGAACATTCAATTATTGATGGTATAGTTATCTGTTGTTGCCCCACAGCTAGACGTTTGTTTTCTTATTGATGTCCTTATTTAGTTATAACCTACCCAAGTTTCCCGAGGTTTGATACTCTCTCTCTACCAAAGTTTCTTCCTCTAGTAGGTACCCCACTGCTCTCAGCTTACAGAACTCCCTTACTTCCCATCTTTCCCAAGATAGATTTAAATTTGTCTGTATTCCAAAATGACATGTTGTTCCCAACCACATCCCTATCTTATATTCATGACAACCGACCGACACTATTTCACTGCTCCCTTTCCTTTTTGTAAGAGTGAGTGCAAGCAAATTACATTGGCTGTGGCTTTAATCCTATCGATTGAAGTTGTCTAGTAATTTGATTGAGCTAGTCAAATGTATCATTATCACATATTTTATTATAACGAACTAGAATATTCATCATCCGCGAAGATTTATACCAATAATTTCCTCGAGAGTCTCAACGTTTTGTAGTAATCTCTACAATTCCAATATCTGAGAAAATAAATTCCTAAAAACTGATCTCAACTTGGGAAAACTACCCAAAATTCCAAATTGTGAAATTAAAAATGGATGGCTTGTGCCATGGGACAACTTTGGATTCATTGCATCAATTATTTATATGCTGGAGTTCTTTTGCATGTGACACTAAATTCATTCGTGAATCAGGTTTTTGGAATGGATAAGAAGTACTGGTTTATCCCTGCATATTCTCAAGATGACTTAAAGCGGATGCCTAATCTCCAAGGCCTTGAATACCCAATGAGGTCAGACACGAATCTACTTCAGGAATTGTAAAATCAATCTCACAGTAAACCTGCAAGCTTTCATTGTTTGATACAATGTGAATTGTATCGAGGGGAGAGAGCCTGAGCCCAGAAGATGTCACCTTGATCCTTAAATTGAATGAATGACAGGTTGGTTTAAATTTCTAACAAACAAATCATAAAGAATGGCCTTCTTCAGGTGGTGCCCTGTATAATATTAGTTGGAAAAGCCATTTGTTTGCTGAATGATGCACAAATTTTAGCTCTGTATCCAGTTTTAGCACAATGCAAACTCTTTTTTCTTCTGTGTATATTTGTTTGTATGAAAACCGACTTAGTTTGGAGATGTAGCGTGTTATGTTGGTGCATCTGCATCATATCAGCCCACCCCATAAGGTCTCAGAAATACTATCAGAAGTCTCCCTCTATAGAAACTTCGACCCCTTGGAAAATTAGTCATATTATGGGAACCTTTTGTTCTAAATTAGCAGGTGGCTCTTCTATTCAAATCTTGTTCGACTACCAAGCTTTTGCAGATTATTATGATTATATTTATTATTATTATTATGTTCAGTCTCATCTTGTAAGTCAGTGGCGGATGGCCGGGGCTGCGCCCGCGGTTTCCCTCCATGTGCATGTGAAAGGGAGAAAAGATCAAGATTGTTGAGTTGACGTGAATAATTAATTGGGAGCCTGAAATTTAATTTTTGAACAATAAAATAATACGGCATTCTAACAATGTTGTAAACATTTCTTAATACGTAACGTGGTATTTATCTATGAGGTTTCTATACTCTCTATTTTTTGCTAAATTACTCACAAAAAGGTAAAAAGATTCGTAAACTCAATAATTTCAAATCAAATTTGATCAATGTAATAAGCGATATTAGCAAAATTCACAACTTTAAACAAAAATTTAGTTCAATTGTCTCCTTTGTCAAGTTTGTATCATT